ACTACACGCGTTACACCACGGTCTTCCCCTTGCAGCGCAAGGAGGAGGTCCCTGATGTTTTGATCCCCTAGATCCGCGCTGTTCGTCTCCATCTCCGCGAGCGGTTCCAGTCGGACTTTCCTGTCCTGCGTTTGCACTCTGACAGAGGTGGTGAGTTCTCCTCAGACCTCTTGGCAGCCTTCTGTGCGGAGCACGGCATCCGCCAGACGTTCACGCTTCCGGCCTCTCCGCAGCAGAATGGGGTTGTTGAGCGCCGCATTGGCTTAGTCATGGAGGTCGCTCGTACCTCCATGATCCATGCGGCTGCCCCCCATTTTCTGTGGCCGTTTGCGGTCCAGTACGCCGCGCATCAGCTCAACCTCTGGCCCCGTGTCTCCTTGCCGGAGACCTCGCCCACACTGCTGTGGACGGGGAAGGTTGGCGATGCGTCGCGTTTCCGGGTCTGGGGTGCTCGTGCCTTTGTCCGCAATACCACCGCGGACAAGCTCTCCCCTCGCGCCATTCCCTGCGTCTTCCTTGGCTTTGTCCCTGACGCGCCTGGCTGGCAGTTTTACGACCCCGCCTCGCGCCGTGCCTTTCCGTCTCAGGACGTCACCTTTGACGAGTCAGTTCCCTTTTACCGTCTCTTTCCCTACCGCACTGCCCCTCGCCCCCCCCCCGCCGCTCTTTCTCGCCCCAGGTCCTCCCCAGGTAGACCCCCTCCCTGCGCCAAGTCCTGCTCCTTCAGGTGTCTCTCAGGTAGACCCTCCCGTACCTGCGCCTGTTGAGGTCACTGGTGACTCAGGTCCTGCTGGGGGTGGTGCTGTCCCTGGGGGTACGGAGTTTGGGGGTGCGGAGCTTGGGGGTGCGGAGCGTGGGGGTGCTGAGCCTAGGGGTGCGGAGCCTGAGCGTGAGGACCCAGGAGGTGCTGAGACTGGGGGTGCGGAGTCTGGGGGCACTGAGCCTGAGCGTGAGGAGCCTGAGGGTGCGGAGCCTGGAGGTGCTGAGCCTGCGCGTGAGGAGCCTGGAGGTCCTGAGCCTGGGGGTGCTGCGTCTGGGGGTGCTGAGCCTGCGTGTGAGGAGCCTGGGGGTGCTGAGTCTGGGGGTGCGACGCCTGAGGGTTCTGAGACTGCTGTTACGCGGTCTCCTTGGAGTAGCCGCCTTGGTCCGCGTGTGCCTCTCACCTCACAGCAGCTGCACGACTGGTACGGTCGCCGTCAGGGTCGCGCTTCTGGAGCTCGGGGCTCTGCTGCTGGAGGTACTTCTGCTGACGTCACTGGAGCTGGGAGTGGTGCTGGTCCTTTGTCTACTGGAGGTGCTGGAGTCGCTGGTCCCGGAGGTGCTCGTACTGGAGGTACTGGAGCTGCTGGGGCTGGAGGTGCTGTGTCTGAGGGTGCTACTGCTAGAGACCCTGGGTCTGGGGGTGCTGCTGCTGGAGGCACTGAGGCTGGAGACCCTGGGACTGGAGGTGCCGGTTCTGGGGGTGCTGCAGCTGGTGGAGCTGGTCCTGGAGGAGCTGGCGCTGAGGGTTCTGGAGCTGCTGGAGGTGCTGGAGCTGCTGAGGGTACTGGAGCTGCTGGAGCTGCTGGAGCTGCTGGTGCTGGTGGCACTGCACAGCCGCGCCTGTTCTTCGCTCCGCCGTCTCCGTCGTCTCAGCCACCGCCTGACTCTGCGCTTCGCCAGGTTCTCAGTCTCCCTTCGTCTACTAGTCTTCCGTTATAGCCTGGCTCACCGCTGCCTGCTCCTTCTCCGTACACTGAGCAGACAGGGGGCCTTGCTGAGCGTCGTGAGCCTGCGTCGCGTCCTGTCTCGCCTGTCCATTCTGGTCGTTCCGGTCGTCGTGTTCCTCGTCCGCGTCAGCCGGCTGTCCCCGGCACCCACCTTGTAGTCCGTCGTCCTTCCTCTCCTCCGCCGCGTGTTCCTCTGCCGTCTCCCCCTGCGTCCTCTCTGCCTGACGTTGCGGACCCTGAGTCTGACCAGTTTCGTACCGAGCACCCTACTGTCACGCGTCTGTTAGCCACTGTTGTCACGGACCCGTCGTTTGAGTCCACTGCTGCGTCTGCCCTAGTCGCTGAGCTTGTCGACTTTGCTGCTGCCTGTCGTCTAGACTACGCTGCTAGTCTTGTTGCTGAGTCTGAGTCTGTCTGTCCTCCCTCCGTCGGGGGTGAGTGTGCTCTTAGCACGGACGTCCTTGAGGACAGGCACGAGGACCTTGAGTGTCTTGCGGCCGCTGCGCCTCATCTCGTGGCCATGCTGCTTGCCCCTGAGGGAGACCCGGATGCACCAGACATCCCGACCCCGCGCTCTTACGCTGAGGCGATCACGGGTGAGTACTCCTCTCAGTGGCAGACAGCCATGGACGCAGAGATGACATCCTGGAAGTCCACAGGCACCTACGTCGATGAGGTTCCCCCTCCCGGGGCGAACATCGTCGACGGCATGTGGATTTTCAGGGTGAAGCGGCCGCCAGGTTCTCCGCCTGTCTTCAAGGCTCGTTACGTTGCTCGAGGCTTCAGTCAGCGAGAGGGAGTTGACTTCTTCCAGACCTTCTCCCCCACCCCGAAGATGACCACTCTTCGGGTGCTGCTGCACGTTGCCGCTCAGCGTGACTACGAGCTTCACTCTCTTGACTTCAGCACAGCTTTCTTACAGGGCAGCCTGCACGAGGAGATATGGCTGCGCCGCCCGCCTGGCTTCACTGGGTCGTTCCCTCCTGGTACCCAGTGGAGCCTCCGGCGGCCGGTCTACGGTCTCCGCCAGGCGCCACGTGAGTGGCACGACACACTGAGGACGACACTTGCGGCTCTTGGGTTTACTCCGTCGACTGCTGACCCGTCGCTGTTTCTGCGCACCGACACTTCGCTGCCGCCGTTCTACATCCTCGTGTACGTCGACGACTTGGTCTTTGCCACTGCTGACACTAAGGCTCTCGCCCTGGTGAAGTCGGAGCTGCAGAAGAGACACACGTGCACAGACCTGGGTGAGCTGCGCAGTTACCTTGGCTTGCAGATCACCCAGGACAGAGCACGCCGCACCATCACCCTGACTCAGTCACACATGGTGCAGCAGGTCCTTCAGCGCTTCGGCTTCACCTGGTCCTCGGCACAGGCCACTCCTCTGGCTACAGGTCACTCGCTCTCAGCTCCACCTTCGGACGAGTTCGTAGAGCCGAGTGGTCCTTATCCAGAGCTAGTGGGCTGCCTCATGTACCTGATGACCTGCACTCGCCCTCTTGGCCTTCTGGCTCGCTACGTGGCTCCTGGTCGGCACCGAAAGGTGCACATGGATGCTGCTAAGAGGGTACTGCGCTACTTGTGCAGTACATCGGGCATGGGGCTCGTGCTTGGAGGGCGGAGTCCAGTTGTCCTCACTGGGCACTCGGACGCTTCTTGGGTTGACGACCAGGCTACACAGCGGTCGTCACAGGGTTACTCGTTCAGCCTTGGCTCCGGCTCTGTTTCTTGGCGGTCTACACGCTCGTCTTCTGTTCTCAGCTCCAGTTGTGAGGCTGAGATCTACGCCACAGCCATGGCTGCACAGGAGTTACGCTGGCTCACCTACCTGCTGACCGACCTGGGAGAGCGGCCTTGTTCTCCTCTAGTTCTGTACGTAGACAACAAGGCCGCCATTGCCTTGTGTCAGGAGCACAGACTGGAGCACAGAACGAAGCACATCGCTCTGCGTTACTTCCTGGCTCGAGAGTTGCAGCAGCGGGGTCAGCTCCGCCTTGCACGTGGCCACTCGGGCCAACACTGCTGATATATTCACCAAGGCACTTCCGTCTGGTGACCATCAGCGCTTTTGTACTTTGTTGGGCCTTGTGCCTACGTTTCCACACTTGCTGTAGTCTCTGCTTGTACTGTGATCTATATATATACCTGCATGCTTGTTCTTGCTAGGTAGAGATCACTGTACTGTTCTTGTTGCATATATACCTTGCATGTGAACTGGCCTTGTGGCCGTTTGCTTGTGCTCAGTGTGTGTGGTGACGTTGTGATCCACCCTGAGCTTGTTTTGGTTTCCTTGATTGGTCTTGTGACCTCTTGCTCTCCCCCACTTTGCCTATGGGGGTGTGTCAAACATATACATATGTTATTGTTTTAGGTATGCTGTAGTGGGGTAGATAATGTGGGGTACAACCCCTTAGGTTTCCTTCTTGTACCAAAGTCTCTCGATAGTCAAACACATTCCTGCCTAGTTTCTAAGAGTCAGAAGTTTCAATACAGCGCGGACATGTGCGGAGTCATCAAGAAGAGCCACGTGGTGCACCTCCAGGAATGAAGGGGGGTGTTGGAGTTAGCGGAAATTAGATCGAGCATTCCCGTAGGTGCAGCTGTATCGCACCCGCTACTACCGAAGGAACAACAGCAGCACTATCGGATCAGCCCATAAAGGGCATGAAGGTCACCAGTCGCAATGGTCAACTGTCGCGACTGTTGACCATCTGGACCGAACGGTTACACGCGAGGAATGGCAACAGGTGTAATTGTCTACATAGTAACACAGTTACATGCAGCGACCCGATAATAAGAGAAGAGGAAAAGTCAGGGTTACTGTAGAAATGCCTGTAAAACAGTTATAATAAGGGAATGCACCCTTTAGAGTACATGGCTAGCTATATATATTAATTCCTTGTAATTTCTTGCTTTAATCAATGTTGTCATCTACATTCAATATGCACAAGGTTCCTACTACAACCAAAGACTTCCGCTAGCAATCTCTAAGGCATCCTATCCTATCCAAGATCCTTATTCTAACACCAACTATTGTGTCTACTTGTAAATTTGATGCGCATATTCCTCTATTTATTTTCCTTGTTCAGTATATAACTGACCAGGGGATGGCATGTTTGCCCATGAAAGACCATGGGACAAATATCAGCAAGTACCGTAAGTTTTCTACTAAAGTGTAACTCACTAAAGCAGCTTCCATTCAACAATCATACACAGGTATAACAACTAAGTTACAAAAACAAAAACATTTACCACTTCAACACATTCTCGCGTTCATATCATGCCAGGTTAACGATTTTGGAAGTTCAGCTTCTTAAGCGCGTAAGCGAAGACGGTAAAGAGGATGATGAATTCGATGTTCACGAGCACCACGTAGCCGAGCCACGAGTGCTGGTAGCCAAACACCTCCTCCAGATATGCCTGCACCGTTGGATCCGGGGTCACCCCTGGCACCTGCAGCGTTGTTGTCACATCTCCCAGCTGTTGTTGGAAGAGGTTAAGAGAGGGAGATAGGGGCAATCAGAGGGAGGGAGAATGGGAGGGAGGAATGGAGACAGGGGCAGTTGGAGGGAGGCAGAGAGGGAGGGAAGGAGCGGGAGGGTAATTAGGGTGTTTTGAGGTTCATAGATGGAGCAAGCATGGAGCTGTTACACAATGGAGAATCATAGCTGGTGCCATGGAGGGCCGAATGGAGAGACTTCTAGGTTGTGAGGGAGACCGGTGCAGGTGAACAGTGACGTGGATAGGATACGCATATGGAAACCAAGTAGGGACTGCACGAGGTGGGCAGGGAAATTGCATGCACCGGAATATGAGCGGCATGAGCACTACTGTATGAGCAGCAAGACACATGGCATGAAAACAGCAAGAAGAGCACGTGTGCAGCATGGAAGGAGGCAAGCGAGGGGAATTACCTGTGAGGCATTGAGACCGTAGAGGGTCCACGAGACGGGGTTGATCCAGTAGAACCAGCGCCACCACACCGGGATTTGCTGCAGCACATGCAAGCAGGACCGGAAGAAATGCGGACTTGAGTGAGTTTGGCACTTGACAGGACCGGGCCGGGCAGCAACAGTATTGAAAAGGTGTAGCAGCCCAAAAACGGCAGGAAAGTCACAGCAGCAAAAGGATAGCAGGCAGCGTGGAAGCACAGGGGAAGGTAAAGAGATAACACAGCGCAGCAGCGGCTACTCACAGGCTGGGTGATGAGGAAGCCGCATAGAAGGTTCCAGAAGGAGAAGAAGAATCCCGAGATGACCATGGCGAGCTGCTCGTTGGGCGAGATGGCGATGGCCATGAGGCCGTAGCACGTGAAGTAGAAGAGCGTGAGGAACATGAAGAGCGTGTACCACCAGAACTTGCCGGCCGTCCACTCAAACTGGATCATCGCGTACGTGATCAGCGAGTAGATGCCCGTCTGCACCAACACGTATGGGACTTCAATTGCTCCCTGCGCCAACGCGTATGGCACCGCACCGTACAGCCCTGCGGCGCGCTCGCGGTAAAACACGGTGCGCTCGATGGCCACAATGGGCTGCACGGAAGCAGCGTTGTTCCACCCCATGAAGAGCGACGCCGTGTACATGGATCCCATCACGTTCAGCAGCTGCTGCTGCGTGCTGCGCTGCTTGCCCAGCCCGAAGAACACCCCACCGATAAGCAGCGCCATGATGACACAGAAGAAGTAGCGCACCACGTTGTAGTCCGGCGCCCGCCAGTACATGCGCGACCGCTTCCACAGATTAGCCACAAACTGCGACGGGTAACTGGTGGAGAATTTCGTCGCGAAAGCGAGGTCCTGCTGGCCTGCCGGGGGCGTCTTGAGCGAGTCGATAAGCTCTTCGTTGCGGCGGAACTGGTCCGACTTGCGGAAGATTTCGGCAAAATCTAGGTTGAGTTTTTCGGCCATGGCGGGCGTGGAGATGTCGAGCATCCACGTGGCCGGGTTGTAGCCGGCGCGGATGGGCGGCACGCCTGGGATGGCCTGGAAGTAGTCGATCATGAGCCGCGAGTCCGTGCCCAAGGGACCCATGAAGATCACCTCTCCGCCCCTCTTCATCAGCAGCAGCTGTGGGGGGGTGGGGTAGGGGGATGGGGGAGCAAGAAAGAGGAGAGGGTAAGGAAGGGAGAAGAGAAATGGGAGGGAGAAAAAAGCAGAGAAAAGGAAACTCAAGGAAAGGGAGAGGTGAGACGGGGAGTGGGATGGAGAGGTACAAGTGAGAAGAGAACTGTTGCACTTCAAAGCCACTCACTTCCTTCCACCAGCGCTCACCTCATCAAAGGCCTCAAAGATGTCGATGGACGGCTGGTGAATGGTGCACACCACGGTGCGCCCCGTGTCCACCGTGTTGCGCACCGTGCGCATCACAATGGCGGCGGCGCGTGCATCCAGCCCGCTGGTGGGCTCATCGAGGAAGATGATGGAGGGGTTGGCGACGAGCTCGACGGCGATGGTGAGGCGCTTCCTCTGCTCCGTGGAGAGCCCATTGACCCCTGGCAGCCCCACCATGGCGTCGCGCAGACTATCCAGCTCCACCAGCTCCATCACCTCCTCCACAAACTCCTCCCTCACTTCCACGTCCACATCAGCCGGCAGGCGCAGCCACGCGGAGAAGAGCAGGCTCTCGTGCACCGTCACCTGCGGCGTGTGAATGTCGCTCTGCTCGCAGTACCCCGCCACGCGTGCAAACGTCTCGTGCACCTTGGGGAACCCCGACACGCGCACGTCTCCTTCAATATACCCCCCGGTCTTGCGCCCTGCCAGCACGTCCATGAGCGTCGTCTTACCCGCGCCCGACACGCCCACCAGGGCTGTCAGCACTTTGGGGCGGAAGGCTCCGGACACGTTGCGCAGCAGCTGCAGGCGCGCGTCGGGGGGGGCGCCCTCGGCGCGCATCTCGGCGGGCATGTCGACGAAGTAGTTGACGTTGTGGAAGGCGAGCGAGTGCGGCGCGAACGGCAGCACCATGCCGTGCTTGCCTTCCGTGGACTCGGGCTGCGACTCCACGTCTGGATAGGGGGGGCAAGGAGTGAGATGGGAAGAGGAAAAAAGAACATGGGACGCGGATGGATTGGTAAATGACAGGAGTCAGAGAGATGAATCAGGAAAGGCAGTGCAGGGCAAAGGAGAAACCCATGGTTGGGTCTATGAGGCAGGTCACAATGCAGTGTGGCAGTTTGGCTACCGCAGAAGCGATCAAGAGCTGTGCTGGTGCCCTGGTCCTTGCCCTGCCCCATCCCTATCCAACACCTCAAGAAGCTGTGTGACTAGTGCAGTAGCGTTGAGAGCACTGCTGGTACCCTTGCCCTGCCACTAACTCCCTAAAACACCTGCGAACCCTTCCCAACCCCTCACCTCGCGACCCAGTGTGGCTGGTGCAGTAGCGGTCGAGAGCGCTGCTGGTACCCTTGCCCTGCCACTAACTCCCTAAAACACCTGTGAACCCTTCCCAACCCCTCACCTCGCGACCCGGTGTGGCTGGTGCAGTAGCGGTCGAGAGCACTGCTGGTGCCCTTGCCCTGCCGCGTGGACCGCTTTCTGCTGCCGCCCGCTGCGCCCAACACCTCGCCCGTGCGGGCGGCGTGCTTCGTCTCCAACTGCTCCTCCGACACCACCGGCTGGGGACGGCCCCACGCTGCACCAATGCAACAGATGGGGGTGACGGAGGGCGCGACAGAACCGCAAGAGATCCGGGTGAGGCAGTGCTAACAGGGTGGCACTGGCATGACACCCCGAGGTGTATCTTGGGCGTGACTTCAACAGCAGGTGCGGTGCGGCAGCAGGTTGGGAATGAATGAGCTTATGACGGAGGTAAGTGAGGGCGAGGATGGTGAGGAGGTTCGAGAGGAGGATGAAGGCAACGAGAGAGCAGGGAAGGGAACATAGTGAGACATGTAGAGCTTACGATCGAGGTGGGCGAGAGATGGTGAGGAGGTTGAGAGAAAGATGGAGGGGCTTAAAGCTTACGATCGAGGTAAGCGAGCGCGAGGATGGTGAGGAGGTTGAAAAGAATGATGAAGCCGATGAGCGCCGCCACACCGATGCCGCGCCAATTGTCGTCCATGGCCAGCGAGCGGCTCTCCAGCAGCACCTGCCCCATGGTGGCCGTGGGGGGGAAGAGGGGCCCTGCCGACTGCAGAGGGGTGCATACCGGGGGAGGATGAGGATTTGGGGGGGGTGGGGGGAACAGGGGTGGGGGAAACAGGGGTGGGGGGAACAGGGGTGGGGGGAAGGAGGTGGAACACATGAGCGGCTCTCCAGCAGTACTTGACCCATGGTGGCCGTGGGGGGGAAGAGGGGGCCTGCGGACTGCAGAGGGGCACACATGGGGGAAAGGAGGGGGGGTGGGGACACATGAGCGGCTCTCCACCAGTACTTGACCCATGGTGGCTGAGGGGGGGAAGAGGGGGCGTGCGGACTGCACACATACGCAGAGACAGGGGGGAGAGGAAGAGAGGAGGGAGGGGAGGTGGAACACATGAGCGGCAGTCTGGCAGCACGTGACCCATGGCGGGTGAGGGGGGGAAGAGGGGGCGTGCGGACTGCACATGGGGCATAGAGGAGAGGAGAGGAGGGGTCATGGGCATACATGGGCATACATGGGCATACATGGGCATTGCATTTGCAGCTGGCTTACAGAGGGGGTGAGAGGGGACGAGGAGGCTCGCTAGGTGCAAGAATGGGGAGTGTGGCATGCACGGCAAGTGTTGGGGAGATGGGGAGATGGGGGACACACACGAGTGTGTGCCAACAGGTGTGTGCATGAATGTGATGTGTGAGCTGGCTGACAGTCCTATCAGGCGGGGAGTTTCGCATCCAAAGAGCAAAGAGGACAGGTCAGAGAGGCAGGCACTCACGAACCCCAATGGGACTCCAACCCCAGGAGCACTCACGACGTCCCAATGGTGGGAACTGCATCTAGAGAGCAGAGAGGCACTCACGACGTTCCAGCGGGGGGCGAGGAACTCGTTGACAGCGAGGGCGTTCTGGCCGTACATTAGGGGCGAGATCCAGTACGCCCAGATCCACACGTTGCTGAGGGAGGGGGGAGTGAGGGGGAGAAGAGGGACGTAAGGGCAGGGGAAGACAGATTGAGTGACCGTGCGGGCCGTACATGAGGGGCGATAGCCAACACGCCCACATCCACACGCTGCTGATGTCCGCTGTACAAGGGGGGAGTGGGGGGAGAAGAGGGACGTAAGGGCAGGGGAAGACAGATTGAGTGGCCTTGCGGGGCGTACATGAGGGGAGAGAGCCGATACGCCCAGATCCACACGCTGCTGCTGTCGGCTGTGGGTGCGTGCAACAGACAAGGGAGAATGGTGGTGGGGGCAGGGTGCCACGGATGTCGAAAGAGTGGAAAATCGAATGGGAGGGGGGAGAGGGGAGAGAGAGAATATGAGAGGAGATGGGAGGTAATCTGAGGGGAGATGGGAGGTGATCTGAGGGAGACGGACGGACGTTATGAGTTTTCAAAGCACGTGGTGCCGGTTGCCACATACACGCTGTACCGAAGCAACTTCCTGACTCGTTATAAGCTCACCCTTAGCGAGGACGAAGCCTCCGAGCAGGAAGAGGAGGATGAGAGCGAAGGAGCCGAAGGTGTTGGAGACCACCATGCTGCGCCCCAGATGAGACGGAATAGGGACACGTGTTTTTTGAGAATTCTCAAAAAACACGTTTTGAGAATTCTCAAAAAACACGTTTTGAGAATTCTCAAAAAACGTGCTGCAACATATTTCCCTCCCCCATATGCTAGTGTGTTGGCGTTTGCCAAAGAGGGTACGCAACCTCTTGGTGAAAGCGAGGTTTCAGAAACGGGGATACACCAACCCCGTGAGTTGATGGGATTGAATTGGTCCCACCAACCTGCATGCTTGATTGACATTGTAAATTTTGTACAGCCAGCTAGCGAGCCGCGATGACGAGCCGCACTGGACTTCTTGGTTCTTGGTTGAGTGCTGGGCACGGTAGATGGGAGTAGATAAGGAGTAGTTTCTTTCATGTAATTCTGAGAGCGCTGATGAAGGCCACCGGCCGAAACGCGCGTACGCTCAGGTTTGAATGAAAAATTTCTTACCTATTCAATCCCTACTAGCCTAAGCTCAGCCTAGAGGAGATTAGGAGGAGATAAGGACGAGTTACCTGTTGGATCCAGGTCGAAACTGCTTTGCTATGCGACTTGGTGGATGAGGAAGAAGAGCAACATCTGCATCAAGAACCTGTGAGGGCGGGCGAGGGGACAGAGAAGAGGGCAGAGAAACAGGAAAGCGGGGCGTTGCATGAGCAACGATGGTGGATGAGGAAGGAGAGTGGGAAAAAAACGGCAGTCACGCACGCGGAAAGGTCGCTTACCTGCCCGGTTCCGGCGCAAAGCCGATGACATAGTATGTAACAGCCGTCCAGATAATAGACGCCCACGCAGAGAAGGGCAGCGAGAGCAGCTCCATCGGCACCTCCCACGCCCACGCCGGGTACAGAAACGTGTCCCTCTGGCGGTAAAATATCGGCAGGCGCATGACAAGCAGCGTGAGCTCCGTGAAGCCGTTGAAGAGCATCATGATGAGGCCGAAGAACATGGCGCCCAGGTAGTAGTTGCCGTCTTGCAGGGAGACGGTGAGCGTGGTGCGGAAGAAGACGGTCATGGTGACGAGCGCGATGAGGATGATCTGGATGGTCTGCGCGATGTAGAGGAACGCGTTGCGCTTCATCAGCAGCCACTCGCGCTCGAACACCGCGCGGAAGACCTCCGAGGTGGGCAGGGCGTAGCGCTTGTGGGCGAGTGCCCCTGGAGGGCTCTTCTCCTTGGGGTAGGGCACCTGATGAAGGGTGGAGCGCGGGGTGAAGGATGAGGAATGAGGGGCGGTGAATGAGGGGTGGGGACTGGGAGATTGTGGGAGCTGGAAGGGCAGGAGTGGGGAGAGTGTGCGGCTCAGGGGCAAGTGTGGGGCGAAGGCACACACAAGAGCAACAAGTGCAAGAGCACAGGACGCACCGAGAGGTGTGCCGCAGTGGCCTTGCCGATCTGCGTCTCCTTGAACGCCGCCTCAAATGCCTGCGCCGGCACATAGTGATACGGCTGACTGGCCCCAGCCCCGCTCCCCTGCTCACCCCCACCGGCCGCTACCCCCCTCCAGTACTGCCCCTGGTCCTTCATGGAAGTCACCTCCTGCAGGAAATCCGCCTCGCCCTTCCTGGCGGGGCACTCGAAGCCCAGCTGGTTGAAAAACGGCACCACCTGTTCCCTGGGCCCGTGGAACACCACGTGGCCTTCTGAGAGCAGCAGCACGTCGTCAAAGAGCTCGTAGGTCTCAGGGGCGGGCTGGAGCAGGGCGACGAGCGTGGTGGCGACGTGGAGGTGCGTGAGGTGGCGCAGGCAGCGCGTGATGAGGAAGGTGGTGGAGGAGTCCAAACCGGTGCTGATCTCGTCCATCAGGAGAACTTGCTTGGGGCCCACGAGAACACGCCTGTGGTGACGCGCTTCTTCTGCCCGCCTGAGATGCCTCGCAGCATGTCGTTCCCCACCACTGTGTCGGCGCAAATGTCCAGCCCTAGGATCTGGGGGGCCACGGCAGTGGGGGGAAGGGGCGAGAAGTGGGGGCAAACGGGTGTGTGCGTGCGGCCTGTGCCATATAAAGGACAGCTAAAGGGCTGAGATGCCGCGCAGCATGTCGTTTGCCACCACTGTGTCGGCACAGATGTCCAGCCCTAGGATCTGAGCACAGGAGGAGAAGGGGAAGGGTAGAGGGGTCCATGCCACTTCAGTCTGCATGCGGCATTCGTGAGATAAATAGAGCACTCAGCTTGCCTAGAATCTCACCACAAGAGTCGTGCCACTCATGGCCATCACAAGCTCAACTTGAGCATTCATCTCAGCTCACCACCATCACAGCCCGCTCACCACCATCACAGCCCGCTCACCATCATCACAGCCCGCTCACCATCATCACAGCCCGCTCACCATCATCACAGCCCGCTCACCATCATCACAGCCCGCTCACCATCATCACAGCCCGCTCACCATCATCACAGCCCGGGTACATACTTTTCACGTGGAGCACATACTTTCACCTCACCACCCCCACCACCGCCTCACCTTGAGCACATACTTTCACCTCACCACCCCCACCACCGCCTCACCTTGAGCACATACTTTCACCTCACCACCCCCACCACCGCCTCACCTTGAGCACATACTTTCACCTCACCACCCCCACCACCGCCTCACCTTGAGCACATACTTTCACCTCACCACCCCCACCACCGCCTCACCTTGAGCACATACTTTCACCTCACCACCCCCACCACCGCCTCACCTTGAGCACATAGTCCGTGATGACGTTGGTGGGATTGCCCTCCAGTGCCATCGCCTGCCGGGTGAAGAGCAACGTGGGGGGGAGTGAGAGAAACTCGGTACATAAATCCAGGGATGGGTAAAACTGTATATGCCAGATGGCAAGGGAAGAGCCAAGGAGCAAAGCGCGTGCAAAGACAGACAGACCAGCTGAAGGAACCAATCTGCCATGCGAACCCCCACCCCCGAACCCAAACCCCAAACTACCTCGCCTGGATCCAACCCCTGCCACCCAACACACAACCACACCTTCGTGATGGCATCCATGGTCGGGTCCGGCACGATGCAAACCCTGAACCCCAAACCCCACACTCCAAGCCCCGAGGCCCATCTGAATGCGGCCTCTGCCGCCCAGCACACAGCACACAGCACCATACCTTCATGATGGCGTCCATAGTCGGGTCCGGCACGATGCCCTGCTCCGCCTCTCGTTTCTCCAGCTCCGCCACTAGGTCTGCGCCACCAGGTGTGTGGGGAAAGTGGGGAAAGGGGAATGGCGATAGGGGGAAGGGCGATAAGGGGGAAGGGAGGAATGGCGAAAGGTCCGTGGGGGGAAGTCGGAAAGTGTAAAGAGGGGAAGAGGGAGGAAGTAGTGAGAGAAGACCACCGGAACTTGAAGATAGGCAAACAGACAAGGCACGTCCGAGCGCCCAAACCCCTGTTTTTGAAACCTCAAAACCCCCCGCACGCGCAAACACGCACCTTTCCGAAGGCCCACCCCTCACAGCCCCACCAACAGGCACACGTGCGCACCTTTGCGGAGCCCCGGGCCCTGCAGGCGCGCGGAGAAGTCGAGGGTCTCCCGGACGGTCATCTCGCCGATGTGCTCGTCGTTCTGCGGCACGTACACTGCTGTGCGCTCCGGTACGAACTCGTTAAGAGCATGCCCGTTATAGGTCACGCTGCCAGATACCTGTGTGGGAATATGAGGAGCGAAGGGAAAGGAGGGAATGCGTCGAGGGAAGGGGAGGAGGGGAAAAAAGGGGGCAAGGGGAGCACCGCACAGGGCATTGAGCCTCAGTGGACGACGCCCAAACTCACTCAGACAAGGTTTATTGAAAACCGCCCTTGAATGTTTTCAACTTCTCAATTCCGTTACGAGGCTTGTTTCACATCCCCGTTACAAGCACCACCCACCTTGAGCGACTTGTCATGGCAGCCCGCAAGCGACTGCATTAGAGTGGACTTTCCGGCGCCACCTGCAAGAAGCCTCACCTTGCCCCGTTAGAAGCCTCACCTTGTCCCGTTACAAGCCCCACCCACCTTGAGCGACTTGTCATGGCAGCCCGCGAGCGCCTGCATAAGAGTGGACTTTCCGGAGCCTGGCGGCCCCAGCAGCAGCGTCATGCGGCCCGGCCGCAGCACGCCCGAGCACCCGTGCAGGATCGGATACGGGCGGCGCGAATCCGGCACCACGCGCAGCGACCGCAGCGCCGCCTGAAGGGATGGGTAAAGGCCGGGTGGGGGGGGGGACGCGGGGGAGAAAGCAAGGCAGAAACTTTGAAGCACAACTTGTGAAAATAAACGGGGAGGGTTCAGGAAGTGAAACGTGGAGCCATATGGGCGATGGCGGGAAGCGAGTGTCGCGGCGGGGGCAAGAGCGCAACTCACGGCGAGCGAGGGTGACTTACGGCGAGCGAGTTGCGAGTGAAGTTGAGGAGCGTGGGCAGCGCGCGCGTGCCGACGTACACGCCCGCCTCGACGTGCACGTCCTCGAAGCGCACCTCCACCGCCGGCACGGCCAGCCCCACGCTGCTCGCCATTGGATGACATTGCGCGGCGCGGTTCGGAGGAGCAGGGAAGGGGGGAAGGGGAAGGCAGGGGAGAAGAGTGGAGGGAAGGTTGGATTTCGTATGGAAAATCGAGCCGAAAACTGCTGCCATGTCCGTTTCCCGTACTTCCCCTGAACCGGTAGAAGCTTCGTACAATCTCACTTCTTTCTGTCTCCTTCGCAGTCCGCCAACAACGCGACATGGATAATTTCGCGCTATTTCCCGCTGGACCCTCACCGGTCGAGGCGGGCTTTAAGCTTCGTAAGGTACGCCTCGTTGTCCTGATCGAGCGTCTCCAGCGCGCGCTCCACCAGCCGCTCCCGCTGCGCGTGGCTCAGCGCGCGCAAGTCCACTTGCGCCAGCTCCGCCTCCCCCTCCTTTCCGCCATCCGCCAGCGCGCCCGCGCCCAGAGTGCTTCCGCCCTTGGGGAGCACCGCCGTGTGCAGGCGGTCGGACGGGGGGAGCTGCTGCAGCTGCGCCCATGCCGCGGGGTCCGCCGCAGCAGGATCGTGTTTGCCTGCGACGAATGCGACGGAATAGGAACGGATGGAGAGGAAAATAAATACGTGTTAGTAAGGAAGTAGGTGAAAATTAAGCATACGAGAAAGGAGTGTTCTTTCTTTATCCAAATTGTACGTTAGCGTGCCGTAAACCTCTCAAAGCTTGTCCTTATCTTTGAAGGCTTCGGGTTCTGCAACAATAGATAGTAGCAACGGAAGTGGAAACTCACCGACGGGAATGTCGCCCGGCATGGCGACTGCCGTCAGAGAGGAGAGCAGGGAAAGTTACGCCCCAATCGCTAAGAGTTTCTACGGTATTGGTACTTCTCAAAACCCAGCAATAAAGTGGAAAGAGCTCAAGCAGGAGCTTTATTGAAACTGTGATGGCCACAGGTAAAGGGAGGGAACAAGTGCGCTTCGCGGCAAGCGAAGGGAGTGTCTGATTGGAAGGGATTGCTAGCTGCTTGTCCCCACCAAGTTTCGGATTGCGGCGAATGATCCAATGGGCCTATCAATAAGCACGAAACTGTCGCACGGACGACTCGCGAAACTGTGTAAATGGGCGACGAGAACATGCCCACTTTACGTGTAGTTTCGGAAACTCGATGTTGGATTGTGACAGAATGTGAGATGGAGAGCAGCTTGGCGGTGGTTCTTGTATGGCGGGGAAGAGCGAGTGAAGCAGAGCCACCAATGCCAACGTAACCTGGGTTCGCGGAATTGCGAAAAGCGAGAAAGGCATCCGACGTGGCGCTTCCTTAGCGGCAGTGTTGTCAGCAGTTGTGGCCTTGTAGCTGCGACGTAGTTGCCCTACAGCGGATATGCACCGTCTCGCGATTCGCGAATGTCCATGACGTCATTCTGCCAAACTGTTCAATGCCCTGAAGTTTCCGTTGAGTCGGGACTCGGAACTTGCCAAAATCGTCTCGATGACGCCAGCAGCCGTTTAGGCGTTGAGGGTGTGTATGCCCTCACCAAAAAGGGCGTGACTCAACACCTTCATCCTACTTTTCAAGCTAATGCTCTGGCGCACCAGTTTTGCAAACTACTCCCACGATATTATTCGAACATCAAAGAGCTGGGCAAGGCAGCCTTGAAATTCACAGTTTCGTGGAATTGGGGATCTAAAAGCTGGCGTGAAAGGTGAATGCCTACCGGAATTTGCCAGTGCAATAAAATCTATCCGTTCTGGACGGATGTGATAGCACTGGACAGAGCGAGTTTGAAACAACACAGTGATACCCGAGTTTCGGATCACTAGTGGCATACTTACCCGTCGGGCTGGTTGACTTTGGGGCACTACCACAATTAAAGAAAATTCGCGCTATAGTAAATTTAAAACCAAGATTCTCACTTACGGCTTTTGTTCCCTGCACATCTGTATTACTGTTTATCTGGAGTACAGCCACTGCTAAGGTACAAGAAATCAGTAGGCATGGTGAGACTTGATTTAACCTCAAATTCATATCATACGAATCCAGTTGACTTCAATTGTGGTATATCCATTCAGCCTCCATCGACTTATTACAGTCTTTATCTACCGATCCCGGCTGCTGCTGACTTTCTTGGTTCAGTTAGTGGTGGTTGTATTGGTACTGCTGCTGCGGCTACTGTTGTTGTTGACGTAGTGTCGCTGCTGCAGAGAACGTTGCAGCATGCGACAGTGGTGCTAGGGAGATGGGGGGTGAATACCCAATATAACTATGCAAGGTACTTTGCACATAAGATCGATGTATCCATATGGACTACGTAAATGGAATGGTCCACTTACAGAGTTCAAAGAATAGAGTGTGCTATAAAGGAATGTGAAACCAGTGCCCCCCTTATAAGACCATCCAACTAATTATTCCATGCAAACAACACCTTCTCAGTTGAGTGAGACCAACTTCCGGGCAGCTTCTGCTATCTCTGCATCTGTTCCGGCACCGCCCTTCACCAGACTCTCCAGGCGCTCCCAGGCAAACCGTGCCTTCAGATCCCTGGAGGGGAGGAAAGGGGGGGCCGTGTGGGGAATGGGAGGCCATGTGGGGAATGGGAGGCCATGTGGGGAATGCGAGGCCATGTGGGGAATGATGTGATCAGGCCTCCAAATTGGTGATGGAGCAGGCTGGAAATCAGACTGTCAGGCAACTCTACACTGAAAACAACACTCTGATCCACCAGTAAGAAGCCTGGGAAAGGCATTAATCAGCCTAATAAGGCAGCAATGTGAAAGCTTCCAGCAGATTGGGGGCATGAGAGGGCCCTGTGAGGAGTCCCACTAGTGGCTCAGGCAGTTGAGCGAGTGGCAGTGCAGTGAGGGTGACTGGGGTACCTGGCTGACTGGCGCAGGGCGGGGTGGTAGTGCTCCCCCTCGATGATGTCTGCTATGCTCACCCACCTGGTGCATGGGAGGGGGGTGCGGTGCAGACGGGAGATGCAAAAGGAGAGAGTCACTTTTGGATGAGAGGAGATGAAGCAGGGTGGGGTGGTAGTGCTCCCCTTCGATGATGCCTGCTATGCTCACCCACCTGGTGCATGGGAGGAGGGATGGGTGGAAGAGGGAGGGGAGATGCAATGTGAAGAGTCTGTGCGGGATGGTAGTGCTTCCCTTGATGATGTATGCCATGCCCACTCGTGTATGAACCAGGGGAGGGAGGGGTGCTTGGAAAGGAGGGAGGGGAGATGGTGAAGAGGTGAGGACGGGTCACGGCAGTGTCTGTCTGGTTCAGGCGAAGGATGGACGGAACTAGGCAAAGCAAACAAAACGCGGACAGGCAGCCAGAAAAGGCAGTTCTCATACCTGCATATATATCAAACAGTTTGACTTGACCATTTTCAATTCATAAGTTCATGTGCATACGCTGTATCCAGTCAAATCACCTGTACCACTCACTTGGAATCACCTGTACCACTCACTTGGAATCACCTGTACCACTCACTTGGAGTCGCTGTACTCACTTGGAGTCGCTGTACTCACTTGGAATCGCTGTACTCACTTGGAATCACCTGTACAACTCACTTGGAATCACCTGTACCACTCACTTGGAATCACCTGTACCACTCACTTGGAGTCGCTGTACTCACTTGGAGTCGCTGTACTCACTTGGAATCGCTGTACTCACTTGGAATCACCTGTACAACTCACTTGGAATCACCTGTACCACTCACTTGGAATCACCTGTACCACTCACTTGGAGTCGCTGTACTCACTTGGAGTCGCTGTACTCACTTGGAAATCTGGTGCCACGCGTCAACTTACCACTGGCGGACCCATTTCGCTGCAGGCTTGCGCGCGGGGACGGGCAGAGGATGCGGCGAAGCGGAAAGCGGATACGGCGGGGCGGAGAACGGGTGCGGGGCGGAGAGCGGGTGCGGGGCGGAAAGCGGGCGTGGCGCAAAGTTGGCGGGAGGCGGGGGAGAGGGAGCCGCTGGCGGAGGGGTGAACGGGAGCTGCGGGGGTGGCGGAGAGGCGGGGATGAGGGGAGGCGCGGCGGAATGGAAGGACCGCGGGTGTGCAGCCATGGCTGCGAGCGAGTAAAACCCCAAGTACAGGTGACCTTAGAAACGCTTGAATGCGACGCGCTGAGATGTGCTTATGCACGTTCGTTACTCGTTACCGGCACTGCCTCTTAAAGACCGCCATTCGCGTAAAGCGTTTCGTCCAGTCCTTGTGAACGCCCTAGAAGCACCGCGACAACTCAGACTGACTTCCGATTGGCTGCTTCGGTCGTCGGTCGAGCGGAACGAAGGCAAGCACGAGCGCATCGCCACAGGCGCTGAAAGCCATGCGCTCGAATGAGACGCTGGGAACGCGCAGACCGTCTGCTGCTCGCTGGAGATGTCAGGCGGTCCGCAGGCGCACTCTCTTTGGACGAGACGCGATATCCACGACTCTGACGGTGTGGGACCGAATTACCTCGGGGGGAAAAGCAACACTTTTGGAAACCTAAACCTCGCTCAGGAGCAGCCATGCATAGCGTGTGACCAGGTTTGAGCTTGGTGAACCAGGTTTGACCCTTGCCAAACACGACCCGAAGGACCCACTCACATGCGAAGCAGATGGATGAGTCGAATCGCAATCAGTCGAAAGACCATTCAAACGAGATTCGCGAAACTTGACGAGATTTCGAAGTCGTTCGTAGAAGTTGCACCAACGTGCAAGATCGATTCGAGGTGGCGGTCGTTACAAACTTGGAACGAAGCGAAACTGATCCCGGATCGAAATGTCCATTTCACCATTCCCGGATTCCGCCCTTGTGCTGTCTCGCGTATTCGCGCACAAAACGCACAACCGTCGCGCAATGACGTCAGAGACTCCTAAAAGGGCTGTGCGATGACGTCAGATGACTAGGCATACGATATCTTGTTCTTTCGGCGGCCTTGCAGTGCCACGTGTCCAAATCAAAAGACCACAAATTCAAGCCCTTTACCTATCGTGCTCGCACCGCGCCTCCTAATGCCGCTTTCCAGTACATGCTCGTTTTCTGCCTCCTACTAGCTCCTCGTTCTACAACCGCGTCCTCCTATTGCCGCCATTAGTGTTGCCGTTACTGGTACCTTCCCCAGCCTCGTTCCCGCAACGCCTATCCGCGTTCGCGTCTTAGGCCTCCTCGTTACACGCACCATGGCTTCTGCCGCTGCCTGTGACCTTGCTGCGCCTGCTAGTGGCGAGTGTGCTTGTATCGAGGAGAGAGGACCTGAAGAATGGCGATGGGCGGCTCAGTGCATGATCTGGCGGATGGAACCACCAACGGCTGTGATTGAACGTACCAGGTAAGCCACCAATCAGCATTCGGTATCCGTTCCTCTCATTTGTTGGCTGATCTCAACTCCGTTCTTCCCCGTCAAACAAATGGAGATCGAATGTCCGATAGCCCATCCCTTACGCCATACCTGCGGCGCACCTACCTTACTTTGTCGTGACACTTCTTCCATGTGCTCATGCGTTAGGCGCTCATCTGGCATGCCATAGTGTGGAATGGTGTGGCGTGGTGTGTCATGGTGTGGTATGATGTGGCATGGTGTGGCGCGGTGAAGATGTACAATGGCAATGCGGCACAGGGCATGTCTTGACGTGGGATATGGCATGGCTTGGTATGGCATGGCATGGCACGGTGCATGCCATAACGTTTCATCCCATGCCATCACATGCCATCCCATGCCATCCCATGCCATCCCATGCCATCCCATGCCATCCCATGCCATCCCATGCCAACCATGCCATCCCATGCCATCCTATGTCATCCCATGCCATGCCATCCCATGCCATCCCATGCCATCCCATGCCATCCCATGCCATCCCATGCCATCCCGCGGTGCAGGCGAGGATGCGAAGGCATTTTGACAGAGGCTTTGCAGCAGCAGCTAGTGGCCATGCTTCAGTCACACCCGGTTAGTCACACCCCCACTGCTACAGTCACCCATCAGCGTGCCACACTACAGTCACACATCAGCGTGTTACACTACAGTCACACATCAGCGTGCTACACTACAGTCACACATCAGCGTGCTACAGTACAGTCACATCTCGGTTCCACCCTGACTGCATCTCCTTTGCTGCTCCCCCACTCTTTGCCCCCCCACTCTCTGCTCCCCCGCTCTTTGCCCCCCCACTCTCTGCTCCCCCGCTCTTTGCCCCCCCACTCTCTGCTCCCCCGCTCTTTGCCCCCCCACTCTCTGCTCCCCCGCTCTTTGCCCCCCCACTCTCTGCTCCCCCGCTCTTTGCCCCCCCACTCTCTGCTCCCCCGCTCTTTGCCCCCCCACTCTCTGCTCCCCCGCTCTTTGCCCCCCACTCTCTGCTCCCCCGCTCTTTGCCCCCCCACTCTCTGCTCCCCCGCTCTTTGCCCCCCCCACTCTCTGCTCCCCCGCTCTTTGCCCCCCACTCTCTGCTCCCCCGCTCTTTGCCCCCCCACTCTCTGCTCCCCCGCTCTTTGCCCCCCCACTCTCTGCTCTCCCGCTCTTTGCCCCCCCACTCTCTGCTCCCCCGCTCACTCTTAATTGTTCACATTCACTTGCTTCTGATCGCCCCCCCCTCACCCCATCCCTCCCTCCCTCCCCTCCACTGCCGCCCACCCGTTGGGCCCTCCGCGCCTCACGGCTGACGGGGCCCACTCACTGCTTTCCAACGAGCCACGCCCGTCATTCATGTCACTCCAATCGCCTCACCCCCCTCGCCCCTCCCACCCTTCCTCTCCCACCCTTCCTCTCCCACCCTTCCTCTCCCCCACCGGCCGCCCTCAGCTGGGCCCTCGCTGCGCCGCTGACCGCACCTACTCTCTGCGCTTCCTGAAGCTGCTTATAACGGAGGCAGAGAGGGGGGCGCGGGGGGAGGTGTGGGAGGAGCTCTACCCGCTCTATGTGGACGCGCTGGGCGCTGGGGGGGGGAGGGAGAAGGGTGGGGAGGGCGAGGAGGGAGATAAGGGAGAGAATGGGGAGGAAGGGGAGGAGGTAGATGAGGCGGAGGAGGGGGAGGCGGGCCATGCTGTAGGTGCTGCTTCTGGCTTGCCCCTTCTTTGCTCTGCTCAATGAACATGATGGATTTGATTTGATTTGATTGCCCGAATGTTTCTTCAACCGACATGGCCTGGGTAACTTCAACCGCTGATTGGCTCCCACGAACAAACGTCAGATAATATGACTTATTTCACGTGTCCGCAGCCCACCTGTCCGCTTCTGACTGTTCCCTTTCACGCTTCTCTCTGTGTCTGTCTGTCCTCTTATGATTCCTCCCTGCCTCAGTACGTGTCCCGGGTCTTCTTCAACATGTGTCCTGTCTTTTCTTCCACGCTCTTGTTGGTTTTCCAACCTCTAGAATGCTCGAAACCAACCTGCCTTCCTTCCCACGCTCTTCCAATACATCACCCTCACGCTTATGCTTCCACCTTGCACCCTCCACCTGCCATCCCTCTCATCGTCCACCTGCCATCCCTCTCATCGTCCACCCCTGCTTCCCTCCCCCACCCCAACACCCCTCGCTGCGCACGACACACACCATCCCCATCACCACACACCAAGGCAGACGGCACACCCTGGTGTTACCACACCTACGCCTTTCGCCTGCCGCCGCTCTCCTCGTGCCCGCCCTACCCTCGCCTGCATGCAAGCCCCTCCCGCTGCCATGCAAGCTCCCACGTGGACTCCTCCTCCCATGCACTCACCGTGCGTGTGTCGCGCGACATGCTGAGAGGCGGCACTGGGTGAGTCCTTCAAATCCCACTTTCAACTGCTCGAATCTCCCGTACCCCCCCTCCTCCCTCGTGCCTGACTCATCCCCTGATTCATTTCCTGCTCTGCTGTGACCCTCGTGCATGGATGGGTGTACACAGCTTCCATGTTTATTATCGCAACATGAGTGTGCTGGGCACATGCATTGTCTTTACCTCGCGCAACTCCTCGTCCACTCGTCACATTACCTTTGCAACTCCTCTTCGCCTCTCCCAATCGCCTCTCCCAATCGCCTCTCCCAATCGCCTCACCCAATCGCCTCTCCCAATCGCCCCATGCCCCATCAGCTGCACGGCATGGCCAGCTTCGCTCTTCCTCGCAGAGGCCCTCCTCTCCCACCCGCCTCTCCTCCTCCCCTCCTTCCACCGCCCCTCCACGCACGCGCCCCTCACACCTACCCCCACGCCTTCTGGCTCAACCCAAGCCCAAGGGGCTCCAACTGTCGCTGTCAGTTCCGCTCCACAGGGAGCCCCTGAGGGCCCCCTCAGCGCGCCAGTGTGTGAGGAGGCGTGCCCTGGGAACGCACCAGTGTGCCTGGAGCTGGGGGCGGGCTGTGGGCTGCTGGGGCTGTGCCTTGCGCCCCTCCCACTGGCAAAGGCGTGTGCTTGTCCGGGAGAGGATGGGGGAACGAGGGAGCAGGCTGCGTGGTTCGGGTGGTGTGTGAAGGGGAGGGTGTGTCTGGCAGCAGAAAGAGGGGAGAAGAAGGAGCGGGGAGCGGGAGGGAGGGGAGATAAGGGGAAGAGGCCGGTGGGCTCCTTGTCTCTGCTGTATTCCGTGTGTTAGAGTCAAAATGCAGGCAAAATTCCGATTTTTCGTGAAGACCGAAATCTTGTGCAAGGGTGTTTCCCATCCCACCAGCGCACGTCACTACCCGGTTTTGAGGCGTCTTAACTCCCAAGTGTACATGTAATGGCTCCTCCTCTGCTGCGCTGTTCCCCCCTTGTCAGTTAAACATGAAAGTACTCACTCCTCCAGCCCCCCTTTCTCCGCCTGTGCCCCCTCTCTCTCATCTCACCCATCTCATCCTCACGGGCACCATTCGAGTCGACTCAAGACTTCCGCCTTTCTCACCTGCCCCCCCCCTTCTCAACTCCCCCAGCTCATCCTCACGGACGCCAGCACCGCCTCTCTCGCCAACCTCTGCGCCAACCTCGCCACCAACGGGCTGCCCTTCTCCTCCGGCCCCGAGATTCCTCTCATCCGCCCCTCGCACCCTCATGGGAGCAAACGCACGGCACGCCCGGGTCAAGGCGCCCAGCTATGGGCGCGCAGGGAGGAGCAGCGCGGTAGGAGAGAGGAGGCATGTGAGGTGACTTGGTCAGAAGGGGTGTCAGGGATGCAAGAGTGTGAGGGTGTGAGGGGGGGAGGGCGTGCAGGAGGGGAGGGAGGAGCAAGGGTGCATGTGCAGCAGCTGTGTTGGGAAGAGGTCACGCCCGCGCTCGCATCATCCCTCTCTGCTGACGTCATCATCGGTGCTGACATCGTGTATGACCCCTCCGTGGTCCCCGCCCTCGCTGACACGCTGGCAGCCCTGCTGTCCATGTCAACGCACAGCGCACGCACGGAGCATACCACCTGGCAAGATAACCATCCAGCTGGCGTGGCCCAAGCTGATCCCACACAGGACACGGGCATACCTGACCATGCCACCTCATCCCTACCCATCTCTCTTCCTCCAGCCCCCTATGCCCTCATAGCCTCCACTCGCCGCAACCCCCTCACCATGGAATGCTTCCTGCAGGCCCTGCACGACCGTGGGCTGCAGGTGAGGGATGTTGCTGAGGAGCTCGTGCCGCACTCTCGCTCTCGGCCTCTGTCGCGGTGGTTCCATTGCTTGGAGCTTCCAGAAGCGGACCGCATGATGCTGCACCTGATTCACATATGAGGTGGTTGTTTGGAGCTTGTGGGTCATCATAATCACTTGTTTCCAGGATTGCTAAGTTGCAATGCCACGTGGTACTGTATGGCTCGTGATTTACAACTATAATCAACAGTAGCAGATGTGGTCATTACACGTAATATCAGTATGAGGCAGCACAAACATTTGTCACAACTTTTTTTTTTTTTTTTTTTTGTAATTGATATATACACCAAGTACAGCAGATGTATACAGCAATAACAGTCGTAACTGTGCGTGAGAGGCAGCTACGTGGCTACCCCAGATTGACAACTATGGTGGTCTGTGATTGTTCCTCGGCAGCTGCCAGATGGCAGCAAACGCACTGTTCCACTTCCACTTCTTGCTGCTACTGTCCCTCAGTTTATCTACCAATCTTATCTCCTCCTCTCTTGCGCGCCGAAACGATCCCTTCTTGTCCGTAGCCACCCGCCTCCTTCGTACATCCTCCTTTGCCCGCATGTACACCCTTGCATGTTGCCGGAAAGCCAGCGCAATCCTCCTCAACACCCGTTTCGCCCTGAACCTCCGCCCTCTGAAAGCAGCTTGACAGCGCTCCAACCACACCTGGTGGAGTGTGATGGCAATTATTGTCGCTTCTGGAAACGCTGAGCTGGAGCATGGCTTCTGGAAGAGAAGGTCCCCTAGCGACGAAATCGACCTCGAGCTGTTGATCATACGAAGAGCCCGCTTGAGTACTGTCTGGACTTTGGGGCAGTCGTAAAGGCAATGTTCCAAAGTCTCCTCTCCCCCACAGTGCGGACATTTCGGTTGTCCACTTAGAAATGACAGTCGTTCCCCCACCTGCAGGTTAAGGTTATGCACCCTTAGCAAAACATCCCTTGGCCTGCTTGGAGTAGCCAGGGATTCTCTGACCGAGATTGCCCTTTTCCAATCAATCTTCCCATTCCATCTGCCCGACCACTGCTGCTGCTTCACTGATGCCTTCTGCCCTTTCTTCCACAGCTTTTTCAGCTGCCTCATCGGCACCACCTTCCCCTTCTCAAAGATCGGTAGAAGCGTGAAATCTCTTCCAGGCGGGATGTATCTCCTGCGATGAGAGCCAACCGTGGTAGGGTTTGATTGTTCTCTGTAGGAACCGTCTAGCAGCAGAGTCCGCCATGTCTCAGGTGCCGCTTCGAAGGCCTTCAGCGCCAGCCTAGCTGGTCCTTTCCCCCCCAGCTCCTTCTCCAGTGACTCCACACCTCTTAGTGTGGGGACTCCTTCCTTGTCATAGCTGATCAAGTGGACCAGCCTCATCTCCCACAAAGGTTTCGCGTCCTTCTGTCCTCCAACCGGTGTGGACCCCCTGAGGAGAATACGCTTGTTAAACACTATCCGCTCTCCCTCCGCAGCCTCTCGAGTAACAATCTCCGGCAGCTCCCCCAGCGGCGACTTCATAAAATTTTCGCACGCAATTTTCCACCGAGCACTACGTCCTTCCCATCGCCGCAGTAGTTTTTCATGTGCGAAAAAGGACTCAATGCCCATAGGGAGCTCAGCCGCCCACATCATGATCTCTTTCTTGAGCGCGTTCTTCTCCGTGATCAGCAGCCCCACCCTCCTTGCCGAGAGGCAAGCAAGGATCATCTCTGGGTCACATACTCCAACTCCCCCTTCCTCCCTTGACGTGTGTAGAAGATCCTTACTCCACAACCGGAACACCCTGTCAGCCGTTGCCTTGTTCCCGGATACGAAGTTCTGGAACGTCTTGGAGAGCGCATTCCAGGTTACTGGCGGCGGCGGATATACTTGCGCCTGGAACGCCACCACCGACATAGAGTAGCCGTTCACCACTGCCGCTCTCGCCTTCGTCGGAAGATATTTTTTCTCCCACGTTTTAAGTTTTCCGACCACGCTTGCCCCCGCCTTTTCCCACGTTGGCTGACAACTTCCTGCCGGTGTTACCCAAATCCCCAGCAGTCTCTTTGCCTCATCCGCTCCCGCCCAACGGAAGCTCTGTGGTCTGCATGAGTGCCTGTGCAGGTTATCGCCCAGCGGCAGGATGACTGACTTTTCCACATTCGTCTCCAACCCCGAGGTAAGCTTAAACTTCTCCAGTACCTTCTCCGCCTTAATGATTTGCTCCTTCCCCTCCAGAATCAGTGTGGTGTCGTCAGCATACCCGATATAAGAGAGACGCTCGTCCGCCTTACTGAGCCCCAGCTTTTTCCGCCACACCTCTTGCGCCAACGGTTCTACTGCGCAGAGGAACAGGTATGGAGCAAGCGGGCATCCCTGCCTTACCCCAGATAGTACTTCCACTCCATCTCCGAACCATCCGTTTATTAACAGCCGCGTCTGTGTTCCCTTGTGCAGACCTTCGACCCAGCCAACCAGCCGCTCCGGAAACCCCATCTCCCGCAAGATTCTGAAGGTGTAGTCCCTCGACACCGAATCATATGCCTTTTTGAAGTCAACAAGTAGCAGAAACCAGTCCTTATTCTTGTTCCGAGCCGCATCAATCACATCGGCGATCAATCCCACTGCGTCCGTGAGTCTTCTCCCCGGCAGGAAGCCGTACTGCTCCTCTGAAATCACCTTTCCCAGCACCTTCTTCATTCTGTCAGCAATCACCCTCGCCAGCACTTTGTAAGTGAAGTTTAAAAGAGTTATCGGTCTATAGTTATTCAACTGATCCTTGTCCCCCTTCTTGTGCAGGAGTATCGTAACGGCTTCTTTGACATCGGTGGAGAGTGAAGCAGAGGCCGCGAAGTCCTTCGCCATTGCCATAAACCCTTTACCCAGCAGGTCCCAGTGCGCTTCAAACAGTTCTTTCGGCAACCCATCCTTTCCAGGCGATTTGTTAGCCGCCATCGCTCCAAAGGCTGCCTTCACCTCTTCTTCTGTCCAGTCAGCTGCCAGCTCATCTGCTTCCCACTTCTCCAGCTTTTTCCCTTTTATCGGCTTCCAGTTCTCCTTAAGGCGGCATCTGTCTTCTCCGAAAATACCCGCGAAGAAAGCTGATGCTGCCTCCAAGATCCCTTTAGAGTCCGAGACTGCGCCGCTCGCTGTCTGTAATTCCGCGATTTGCGTGCTTTCCTTCCTCGCCTTTACCATTGCTGACAGATGCGGGGACGGCATTTCACTGGTAAGCTCCACCCGTAGTCCCGTCATCAGCTGCACCCGGTCCTTCTTAGCCGCATGGTACTCTTTAAGCTGCACCTCTTTCTCTGCTAACAGCATCGTCGTACGTGAGCAGGCCGGATTTCTCATCGCTTCTTGCCGAAGCTCCGCCACCATATCAACCAGATGTGAGACCGTGGCTTTAACTCTTTTCCCCTCCTCCTTCATGTACGCGCGTAACCCAACACCAAGCCGGGTGAGTAGTAACTCAAAACTGCTGCCATCTGACACCGTCACCTTCTCCACCGTCGCCTCTACGATTCTCATGACTCCCCTTCTTCGAACCATTGACGCGTGTAGTCTCCACATCCCTGGACCAACGCGGATCTGAGCATCCGTCCTCAGCGCCACCCTCACCGCAAAACAGTGGTCAGATATGTACTCTTCTGGCATGATGTGTGAGGCTTGGGTTAAATGAGGTAAGAGAGAGTGAGATAGTAGCGCTCGGTCTATCCTCGTACTGGCTTTTTTCGCTTGTGAGTAAAAGGTGAACTCCCTTTTCGACGGGTACAGTGTTCTAAAGGCGTCAGATAACTGAAACTGGCTGCACCGATTATAAAGCATGGCATTCTCCGCTGCTGTTCCTAACTGCGATGACTTATCTAGGAGAGGATCCTCTATTGTGTTCAGGTCTCCCATGATGAGCAGGTGCGACGATGGCTGGATTGAGTCTACCATGGGGCCTAAAACGGATCGAAGGAAAGCAGCTCTGGAGGTCGGATTTGCAGGAAAGTAACACGCTAAGATGGCAATGTTAATGCCTGGACCAAGAATCTCTGCCTGAATGACTCTACCGGAAGGATGGACTACGATGTTGCGGAATCTAAGCGCCGGCTGTCTACATACCACCGCTACCCCACCAGCCTTGGCTTGAGGCGTGGCGGCTGCTACGAAGGTAAACGACGGGTGTGCCCAGAAGGAGTGTGAGGCGTCTAGTCTAGTGTCTGAGAGAACTATAATATCGGCAGCCTTCCTGAACCAGTCTTTAACACGCTGTTGTTTAGTGCCGTCACCTAGGCCGTTGACGTTCAGGCCCGCAAATGTGATGTGGTTTTTCTTACTCATTTAATCACTGCTTGCGAACCCCTACGCATCCACAGGGTGAAAAGACAGGTACCTCCTACTACTGCAAGAACTACAGCCGCTGTTGCTGCGCATCGACCGATGCTCTCCAACTCCTTCAGAAGCCGTACTCTTTCCGGACAATGGTGAGGTTGGCTTTCTCTAACGACACACGGGTAGCAGTTCCGAACTTCTCCAGATGCAGCATGTGAGCGGCAGAGGCAACGTGATCCGAGGCAGTCATGAAGCTCTTCCCCTTCGCCTTTCCGCATCCGTCTTGAGTACAAACCCACTCCTCCCTGTTGCTTCCGGTCGAGATCAAAGCTATGGCCGGATCTTGCAGGAGAGGAAGGATAAGCGAGGTGGCTTTCAGGGATTGGGCTGCGAGGTTCAAACAAATCGTCAGCAAGTAATAAGCAAGGCAGGTAAGGATCTGTAAGTACTGGACAGCTGAAGGCATTACCGTTGAGCTTGTGCACTTTCCCGAGCGTCAGATTCCATTTACCCACGTTGTGCTGCCTCTCAACCGTGAAGACGTCATGGTATTTGTCATGATGCTGACCATCACAAAGGGAGCAGGAGACCGCAGGGTAATGAACCAGGATCTTCTTCGTGCGGTCAGCAGGATCAGGGACCGCATGAATCCAACGGCGACGGTCACCAGGATGCGCGTAGACCAAGCCTTTGACGACGTCAGTATCAGCACCGGTAACTGGGTGAAGGACGCGGTGGAAATTGGAGCTCCGTGCGAAAGCAGGACGCTTGGTCGACTTCAGCGGGTAATTTGACATCCGTTCCACCAGCAGGTCAGGGTCGATCACTGCCGACACTCCCTTGAAGATCACCTCAATCGCCTGCGGATGAAGTGCCTTCTCACGCGCAAAGAGCACGTTCTCCGTGTCTTGCCAGTGGAGCTTAACCAGGTTCCCATTCAACCGCTGATACACCACCTCCTTCCTCATCACTGTTTCCACGTCCATGTCCAGCAGGAAGGAGATCTGCAGGCGGCAATAACGAACTTTCGCGATATACGATGGCTGCAGCACCTGAAACTTAGCCGTGGACAAAGCGTTAACTGACAGTTCAGCGTACCACCCACGCTTCATCAGCATTTTAACGGCATCAATCACGCAACCGACTTCCTGACTAAGAATAAAGGGAAGTAGCAGAATAGCCGTAGAGCGCAGCCTGGACTCGTCCTCCTTGTCCGTATCAACCTCCATCTCGTCATCAGTGTCCTCATCGCCATAGTCTTCCACAGCATCAGTTGATTGCGGCCTTGACTGATCCATTGTTGCCTTCTCTTCCACAGACAAGCCTGAGCTTCCAGCGACCGGCTCATTGACGACTGTTGCCTCTTCATTGATCCCTCCCTTCGCAGAAACAACATCATTGACGGCAGAAGCATCATCGTTAGCCGTGACAACAGGGATGTCAACCACGGTCTTGGAGCGCTGGTTCTTCGGCGGCATGGTGCAATGATGAAAAGAAGGCAGACTGAGGAAGTGCCGAGCACTGATGATAGCCTCTGAGAAATGAGCTGCCTGGAAACTGAGCACCCCAGTATTAAGGGTACATTCCGCTGTGGATTTAGGGTTTAGTTTAAGTATTAAGTAGTTGTGTGTCTCCGCCTGGATCCGGTTGGAAACGCTCCTTCGAGAAATGATGAGTTCTCGAGGAGCAAACTTCGGGAGTCCCGCGCTCAATAATCTGAATAATAGGCTGAGTTGCTGGCGTTGTCGATGTTGGCGATGTGTAGATTAAAAAGCAGTGTAGATCCTTGTAAAGCGTTCTTGATGCTGCCTGACAAACACCAGGGTCGGACGCCTTGAAGCTAGAAGGACCATTGTCAGCAAAAATGACATGGCATATAGATGTAGGGAAACAGGCGAATCCAGTGGTTACGTTGGTTGTTTGAAAAGACTGCTGTAACGCGGACAATAGATTAGCAGACCGCGATGGAATCCATGGCGGCCTCGGTAGCAGATCCTGGAAGCGGAATAACTATAGACTTGGAACTGATTTGTCACAACTGCGGATGCAAACATCTACTTTTCATACAGTTTCGAAGTCCTCCGATTTTGCATTGCAGTACTCTCCACGCTGGAACCTAGGAAACGTTATAGCGATACATTCGACATCTTGTGAGGGCTGGGCATTGGACGTGGGGGAAGTATGCTCGCCACGCACGTTCGGCGAGTCAGACACGAGTTGACTGGAGCGACTCTGTACACGTCATTATATGATCTGGAAATTTGATACACGTTGGCATGCTTGTATCAAGAGGGCGCCATCGATGTCGTCGACAACATCTCCAACACCGTCGATGGAGATGCTCACGTGGACTCTTCTACCAACCCCTTGTCGCTCACCAACATCAGGGTGATTCGCGAAGCACGTCTCTTGATTCGTGAACCAGCCCTGCCACTTCCTCCTTTTGAGGTGTGATGCATGACGCCGCGCCAAGCGGAATCCACGTCATTGCAGCTACACCAACCGACACTCTCCAGGACAACGAGTCAGCCTTGAATCTTTCAAGCTAGACAGCAGTGTCACCTCATCCCTTCCGAATCCCGCAGCACACCTCTTCGCTCTGGGTACTCTCGATTTTAGGGTTTCATTTCTGCTTCGACTGCCAGCTACCATTGGTTCGAAGCTCATCCCAAGCTAGCAGCTTATTTGCGAATCACTTGCCGCCGCGTTGAACGTCATGGCTGCCCTTGCCCAAGTCGCGCCAGGGTCATGCCTTTCCGCGTCTCTCGCACCGTCGGCGGCCGGCGGAAGGAGCACCTCCCAACCAGCGTCGTTAGACTGCCGGCCAGTTTCTGCCGCCTCTCGACTCAGCAGCTGTGCAGTTCGCGCGAAGCACCGCGTACCCCTGCTGAGACACGTGGTAGCCTTCCAGGATGACGCGTGTCGAGCGTTCTACGAGCCGGTACGCTGCAAGAAGGCGGACAAGGAGAGCAAGGGCTTTAAGGACGCGAAACGGTCGCTGAAGGCGAAAGCGGCAGCGTTGGAGTCGCAGTTCGTCGCCTTGGCCGAAGCCGTTGACTCGGACGAACGGCAGACTGGCGTTGCGACGGCGGCCTCGGTTGACGCGGTAAGAAATGACTCGCTCTGGATAAATCTGGTGTCGTCGTCATATGTTTGGCTCTCTTTCGTTATATTCGTTCCTTATTCCCTTTTAGTCCGACAGAAATCTGTGAGCAAGAACCTAACGGGGACAGTTCCTGATATACTTACCGCTCCTGTCGTGTGATCATTTTGGTGGCAGGACTTCGTGGCGACGGTGCTTCGCGAGCTGAAGGAGATCAAAGCAGAGCTCAAGTCGCTGAAGCAGATGCAGAAGAAGATGATGGAATCCTCCTCCTCCTCCTCTTCCTCTTCGTCCTCATCGTCTAGCAGTGACGGCGGCATGGGGGGAATGAAGGCCAGGCGCATGGAGCGCCGCAAGGCACGGCAGCAGGGCGCCATGGGGATGACGGGGACAGTGGGAGGAACCGTGGGGACCTCCGTTGTCACCGGCGCTGCTGCTGCCGGTGCGGCTGTCATCACTGCTCCTGTTGCCGCCGGCACCGCTGGTTTGTCAACCGTACAGTCGGTGATAGCCGCGTCGTCTGTCCCCGCCGCTCCAGCCAATCCAGTGGCCTCGGTTCTCGCCGCGCATGCACATGTAGCCTCGGAATCCCCTAGGGTGTGGGAGATTGAAGACGTGGTTACCGCAATCGCAGGAGGCGCCTCTTTCACCAGCTCCGCGCTGCCCTCCGCCCTCCAAACGCCCGTCCAGCTCCCCCCTGTGCAAGCCCCGTCTCCCGCTTCCCCACTCCCCGCTCCCGTCTCCCCCCTTTCCGCCGCGGCTATCGCGACTGTCTTCCCTGACACCGCGGCCTCGCCGCTGCAAGGGAGCGTGGCGGTGGGTGTGACTGTAGCGGGGGACGTGGAGGTGTGCATTGGTGGGAAGTGCAAGAAGAACGGGGCGGGTGACATCTTGTCGGCGTTCCAGGCGCAGGCAGCGGGAACGGGTGTGCACGTGGAGGCATGCAAGTGCATGGGCAAGTGTAAGGCGGCGCCGAACGTGAGAGTGTGGCGGGATGACGCGGACGAGCCTCGGATGGAGAGTTATCTGGCAGTTGAGGATGTGGGCGTGCTGATGCAGAGGCACTTTGGCCTGCAGCCTGCTCCCGTGCCTGCTGCTGGAGCTGGAATCATGTGATGCTCTGGACAGCAGAAGGAACTTATCAAACATAGTTGTAACCAGGTGATACGCTTCTGTTGTAAGTAGACTCTATCTTAGTTGGTGAGTCTCAACTGCTTTTGCATTGCATTCCAAATGTGGGTCTGATTCTGAAGATTCTATTGTGCAGATCATCATTGTAATGTCTGCTAGTTCATGTGGACCCTTCGAATACAGTGATGGATGTCAAGACCCTATGGTGCACCTGCACATTCCCAAAATCACAATTTCACTCCACACCCGTCAGGAATAATTCACCATGGCACCACAATTCCCAGAATAGAGCACCCCCTTTCAAAAGAGACTTCAGTCGGTACACTAAGCTCTCCAAAATGATATAGCGAGATTGAACAATGAACACCATTGCAGAAGACCTTGGGGCGGTTCTGGGTGAATTCAGAACGTTTAATCCTGGTGCGCAATGGTCTAGAGCGGTAAAATCAGGAAGACCGCGTCCAAACGTGAATGACCGTATTGAACCGCGTCAGACAAAGCCGTAACGAAAAAGTATGACCCGCCCTTCCATCTCGATGTGACATGAACATGACAGGGGAGTGTTGGGTTGATTTCAAGGACGCGGCGTGGCTCGATTCGTGGGCCGGAGTCGTATGCGGCTCGGGAGTTTTCAGCGACGTGATGAGCCCTGGTTCCGCTGAAACACACAGCTAAAGGTACAATCAATATTATTGTCTATTTCTAAGTGTAACTTTAGATTCCATCTGCCAGGGCAGTAGCATTAACTTCAATTCCAGCCAATGTTTTGGTGGAATGAATACACAACTTCTGGAGTCAGAACCAGCAGCAACTCCGTGGTCCCCCTCTCATTTCAGGCACAGTGGGACCTTTTCCCACTGGGCTTTATGCTTTATGTGCACCCATAGCTTCACCCCCCATTCATCCATTTCTGGTCAGTGCTGGTTTGTGGCACACGAGCTATAAAAACAAAATTGCAAAAAATATCCGTGCCGCGACCTTGACCAAAGCGATTGGGGGGGCTGATGGTGCGCCTCATACTATAACTCACACCAGTTATTTGGGTTCTGAATCAAAGCTCCATTCACCACTTAGACTCTGTATCCGTAATAAGTTACCTAGCTGTCGCCATGGCCCGTGCTCTCAGCGTGTTCATCTTCGTCTCAGGTACTTGACGCAACCGTAAAGACCGAAAGCAATAAGTAGATGTCTTAGCTTGTTTACACGATTTCACCTCTTTTCGTCTTTCGTGCGTGCAGCCCTCGTAGTAGGTGCAGCTGCACAATGTGCGACCCCCCTACAGGTACGCCTTACCGCCTGCTTTGGACTCGTTTGGCACGCGTGAGCAGGGCTAATTGCTTTCTGTTTGCGGGAACAAAATGCAGGCATGCGACTTTTACTTCAAGCCTCCACGTGGCATGAAGCCATTTGTCCCCACGCTCAAGATACGCCCCTCCAATATGAATCTCATGCTCAGCCAAACCTTCATCATGCACAAGTAAGTATCCTGAGTTTCTGTAATACGCTTCGTAAGTAGTTATTGGTCCACGTTTTTGCATGATCTTGCGTTGTGAAATTCTTTTGTTTTGCTGTTCCAGGTCGGGTGATGTCGTGCTATCCACGAGCAATAACAACGAGTACAACGGATGCGTTATGACGCCAGTGAGTACCCAAATCAGGAAAGCGAGATGAATGCTGGCGCCGTAACGTCAAATAGACAACCATTTGACCATTGTGAATCACGAGTTGTCTCTTGTGTGCTAGCAACAATTTGGCCAAGGATTCCCACTTACCACTCTTCGTACTGTCTGGCATCAATGCAGAGAACGGACTGGCATACGTGCGATAAAGTGTTTTTGTTCAAGGGAGCGGGAAACGGGCCCATGTCGTACGTCAACACCAACCTCGTCGCCATGTACCCCATGACCCCCGACGTCGTCCCTGTAAGTTCCATACACATAACCATAAGTTCCATGCACATAACCCACCTGTAAGTTCCATGCACATAACCACCCAGTTACTACAATGAGTATTGCATGTGTTCTGTTCCTTGCTGGGACCACTGCAACCTTTGACATGGCCTATATGTCGCCTATTCTTGAAATATTCTTGCAGTTGTATAAGAATAGGTGCATCGTGCTGCGGATGGACAACACTCGTCTCGCCCGCAGCGGCTACCTCAACAGCGGGGATACCCGCATGAGATTCCCAGAGGTACGTGGCATTAGAGAATGGCAGCGCTATTACTCCGCGTTAGCCCATTCATGTGAGCTGTCTGAAAAAAATAGACGTTAATCAGCACGCTTGCCCGAGTAGAAAGTCCTACTAACCCGTCATTTACTGTTTCCGTCTGATTTTCTCCCGCACTGTCATGTTCATCCATTCGACCTTGCAGCAACGCCGCTGCATCGTCTTCAAGACCGCGTAAGTAGAGCGTGCGACGCTGGCGAGGGGCATGGTATACACTGTAGGAGAATCAAATAAGTGGCAGCATCTGGCTCCGATCAGATGTGAAACTCGCACTTTCTGCAGGACGGCTTCGCATGTTGTATCTGCATGCAGCTTTGATACGTTAGTCTGGCATACTTACGAATGTCCTAGGACCTAGCTTGTAGCCTTGGTTTAATGTTCTGTAATCCGTGCTTCCAGCTTGGAAATCGTTGGGCAAACGCCGGAGCGGCTTGTGGCACAATATAAGGTTCTACGAATCACAAAATGGCAAGGCAGACACCGGTAGCTGCGCTTGAATGCAAAGGTGGAGGGTACAGGAGAACCGTGGAAAAGACCTTGTAGGACCATGTACGCGTGTATATTCGCGGTAACACATGAGCCCACCAAGAATGAGCGAGATTTTCAGTTCGTCAGACACAAGCGTGCTTCATGAACGAGCAATGTGTGGCTCCTTATGTTGTGTCTAGGTGTGTGACGCTGTAGAACCTTATACGTATTGTGGCTTGTGGCAACACCGGAGCGGCTTGTGTCTAGGTGTGTGTGCGTGTGTGATTTGTTGAGTCCAGTCTAAGCCTCTTGTCCAGTCAATGCTTGTTTGAATATACGCTTCAGATATGTAAAATTTTTAAAGTTAAACTTCTAAAAATTTGAAGATTGTGATTCGACTAAAAGAGGAGTTTGCTGTAAAGGAGACAAACTCCTTTTCATTCCGGCAGGTCCCTCAGACCTGCCACCTAGTCTCATTTGCATTTTCAGATCTCCAATCTTGCTTACCACCAGCACACTCCCTTAACCCCTCCTATGCCTAGAGTTGGGCATAGGAGCACTTTAAAGCGACGGTGCACATTTGCCACCCAAAACCCAGAACCCTGGCGAACTGTTACTGCGGATGGAAAGTGTCCGCACGAAATCCTGGTTTTCGCCAGCCAGCACTTTCGCGCTGGCAAGCCTGGTTCAAAAAAAAAACTTCTGAACCCAACACTGCCAAAAGTTGCCCGTCGCTTTAATCAACGACGTGATCAACGTCAGATTTTCTACCATGGCGTCCGGCTTTGTTTCCGCAGTAACCGGCCGACCCCCCGCTCCGCGAATGGTTACGCGCAGCAGCGGCAGGCGTGCTTCCCCGCCAAGAGACGAGGATCGCGCTTCTTCCTCCCGAGATCGCTCAAGATCGCCACGTCGAAATGGCGGAAACGCAACATTGACCGCGCTTGACCTGTTAAATGGCGCGAGACAGCCTCCTCCTTCCGCACCTAATGTCGTCGCCGAAGGACCCGGTAACGAGCGTGGGCCCCCCCGATTTCAAGTCGAGGGACGAGCTGCACGTGCAACAATCGACCCGACTCAGCCAGGCGAAAACGCCCCCGCGCGCCAGGGTCCTGCAATCCAGGCGCAGGACCGCAATGATCGCGGTCCTGCACAGGCAGATCGCAATCATCGCGATTCTGCACGTGCAGATCGCAATCAGCGAGATTCTGCACGTGCAGATCGTGACCGCGATTCTGCACGTGCAAGTCGCGAGCGGGATCCTGCGCGTGGCGAGCGTCAGATTCGAGAGCCAGCGCGCGAGGATCACCGCCCGGATTCTGCAAATCGGCGCGCGAATCAGGGCGAGCAGCGAGATCCGCAGAATCCGGCAGCTGGGATTGCAGAAACCGCGGAAATCATTGCTCGCCTTGACCCCACCAGCCAGCAGAATCTGAGGCGAATGTTCACTGAAACTGGCGGCGAACGCGTTATGGCGCGATCCAGCGCATCTACAGGGCGCCGTGCATCCGAGAATAATTCGGCGCGCTACACTGGAAACAATATTGGAGCGGCAGCAAATAATAACGACGCAATCGGACACGTGATCGGCCTTCTCGCGGCGCTTCAGCGCGGCAACAATGGTGATCCCGCAGCACCTGCTGATCCTGTTCGTCCAGCTGCCGCAGCAGCAGCAGCCCGTCCCCGTGCTCCCCCTCCTCCTCTTTGTCAGAATATGTTGTTTGTGTAGCCTGCAGTGGGGTACTCAATAGTGAGTACAGCCACTTAGGGTTTGCTATTTGTATCCTGCTGCTTGCTAGTTCACACATTCCTTCTCAATTCTGTTCCTGCACACATTCCTAGCTCATACTTGGCGTCTCCTTTCGTAGTCCTACTGTGGCCTAGGCTACTAAGCCTAGGCCGTACTCCTAGTATATTTGACATGGTATCAGAGGGCGGCATGTCTGCCGCCTTCCTGTGTATGGGCCCACCACCCGCTTCCGCTGCCGTACTGTCCGCCGCGCACTCGGGGAAACCCTAATTTCCGCTGCCGTACTGTCCGCGGCGGCGAAACCCTAATTTCTGCCCGCCGCACACTCGGGGCGCTTGGCGGTTTTCCCTTCCGTGGCGCCCGTCGTGGTGCCCTTGGGGGGGCCTCCGCGGTCCCCTCCCGTCGAAGCGCCCGTCGAGGCGCTCTCGGGGACCCACGCGGCCTCCCCTCCCGTCGCCCGTCGAGGCGACCTCGGGGACCCGCGCGGCCTCCCCTCCCGTCGCCCGTCGAGGCGACCTTGGGGGCCCGCGCGGCCTCC